CAACCCAACACAACACAAACCAACACAAACCAACACAACCCAGCACACAGAGGAACGATGCTCAGCAGCAGGAGAAGCTGAAGCTGTGAGCTCCGGTGCTTTATAGCGTTTTTAAATCACTGCTTCCTGCCGTTTTTAGTCACTCTCTGCTTTTCTTTAGGCACCAAAACTACTCAGTTGTGTTTCCTAAACCAGCAGCTCAGATGCTCCTCAGCAGCTCTTTGCTTTTGTTTTCAGTCGCTGCTTTTAAATCATCCTCAGTCTTCGTCTTTTGTCGTTTTCAGTCACTGTTCTCAGTTTCTGTTGTTTCCAGTCATTGTTTCAATGGTGTCCAGTTGTTTTTCAATAGTTTTTAGTTCTTGTTTTCTGCTGTTTTCAGTCACAGACCTTCATTAGTCGATGTCTTTAATCATTTCCAGTTGCTGTTTTCAGTCGCTGGTCCTTCTTTGTCCGTTCTCAGACACTTTTCAACTGTTTCTCGTTTGTGTTTTCAATCATCTCCAGTTGCGGTTATAAAACCACCTGGTCAGGTTCACGGTTTGGGTTCAAAAACACCAGAACTGAACCCCAGTAGTCCTCCGCGCTGTAGGGACTGGTAGGAAACATCAAGCCGGTGACGTAAACCCTCAGTCAGACCACAGATCTGTTCAGTCCACACCCTGCAGCTCCTGATTTAAACGAGTCACTGGGATGCAGCAGCAGCGTCGACTCGGTATGGCTCTCGGTGAAAACCACCACGTGGGTACAGAAGCTGCACTCGAACGCTTCGGCTTCGGTTCCCAGACGGGAGCCGAGAGCGACGGTTTGTTTCCTCTGCAGAAGCCTTGTGGTGAAACAAAGGGAACCAGTGGAGCCTTTGAAGTGGCGCTGATCTGAAAACAGCCTCCGACCACAGAACCGCCAACCGGCCCACCCGCCCCGGCACCGTGACATTTCCATCTGAGGCCCGTTCTAATGAGCCGACGTGCGCTCGGGCTGCGTTCAGAGTCACGCTGAGGGTTTCTGCTGCTCGCTAACCACCATGTGTTTGTGTCGCAGGAGGAGGAGATGCCCGAGGTGGAGATCGACATCGACGACCTGCTGGAGGTCAACAGCGACGACGAGAGAGCCAGCAAGCTGCAGGTACAGACACAGCGATGTACGGTAGAAACAGGAACACCACATGGTGTGTTGTTCTCCTGGTATAAGTTACAGCTGCTGTATTTGTGCTTCCTGTCCTGAAACAGCCTCTGGAGCTGCTCAGCACGTCTCCAAACTCACCTTCAGCTCAGGTCCTTCTACAGGAGCACGGCCACGTAACAGATTTTAAATGTACTGGTTGTGTCTGAACTTTTCTGGAGTTTTCTGGAGGAGACATACAGAATAAAAAATA